GGCACACACCACCCATCACCCCCATCACCGGCAACGCCCCCCTCCCTTCGACGGCGGTTGCGCAGTGTTCAACTCCAGCGCCAAGTTCTGGTCTCGCGGTGCGGTGTGGCTGCTCCCGACAGAGTCCCAAAGCGCCAGCCGGTGGTCTCCAGTGCCGTGAGGGTCCACGCTCATCGATCCCAAGCGACCGTCGCGGCCTGCGCTGCGCCCGGCGACTGCCGCCCCCGGTCGCGCACGCAGCGTCGTCGAGATGCCTATGCCGAAATTCTGCTTCGCGCGGCTGCGCCCGAGGGGCGGAGGCCGCGAGGGGGGCATTTCCGGCAGGGTCACGACAGGTGAGCGGCCTGCAAATCGATTGCGTGCGTGCGTGTGTGGTGGTGGTTGTGTGGTGGAGGTGGGGGCGGAAGAGATGCTCAGAAAGGGACAGATACGGGGACGACAAATGGGCAGTCCATCTTGGTTCAAGGGAAGTTTACCGGGTTGGTGGTGGCGGGAGCGGAGCAAGGGCGGGGGGGAATCGAAGCGGGGTGATTGGGGCTCTGCGGTGTGCCGGCGATGGCTTGGGCGCGGGAGGGGGCAAGCTTGTCGTAGTTGCCCGGGCATGCGGCGACTGGCGCGTGGGGCCGGTGCCGAGGGGGCAAGGGGCAGTGCCGGGCGGCGACGGATGCGGGGCGTTGGGGTCGACGGAGGTCCCGCAGCATGACGGGAATGCGCGGATCGAGGCGTCCGCTAACCCACTAGCAATTGAACGCGCTGACAGTTGTTGGCGACAGGTAAGAACAGATGGAGGCCGGAGGCGGATCTGAGGCCAAGAGACGACGAGCGGTGGGGGGCCCACGACGGAGCTCAGGGTAAGCGGAGGGCGGACGTCGCCACGCCAGAGGAGCAGGCGCCCAACTTCTGGGCGCCATGCGCGCACCTGTGCCAGGAGATCCGCGCCCAGAGATCACAGGTGGAGAGCTCGGTCGCTCGCCTTGCAACCGGGCAGCCTCTCGCAGCGCCCTGTGCGCGTGCGCGCTTGCGTTCTTCCCTTCGGGGCCGTTGCTGCATCGATGCGAACGCCGAGATGTGCCGGCGGCCATCTGGGACGGGCCGGCGGGAATGCCGAGGCTGGGTTGCGGGGCGAGTGACGGCCGCCCTCCGGGGACGCCTTTGCGCAGGAAGCGGTGGTCGAGGTCGAAGAGCGGGGGGGGGCGCAGGAGCAGGAGCGGGGGAACGCGGGAGAATGCAGGGAGAGCGCTACCGAGCGGCAGGTGGGTCACAACTGCGAGACGGTCGCCACGACAGGTGTACGGGAGGGCACCCTGCAAGGGGGTTTCAGGCCCGGTCACGCGAATGGCGACTCGCTGACGCAACTGGTGGCAACTTGCTTATCACTGAGCGGCCAGCAGAACAGTGCACCCAAAATTCACGCAATTTTTTTTTCACGCAGATTCACCCAAAACTCCCATCCAGCAATGCCCCGACAGCAACTCCCCAAATACACATTTGGTCCACTGAGTAGACTAGTGGTGTAGCGTCTCAATGCTGCTTGACTGCGATTGCACAGCATGCTCATATCAGTTCCAGTTGTCACCACAGAAGGCCTGCTTTCATGCTACAAGTTCTGAAAACTAATGGCATTTTGGCCCAACTTTTCGAATCTTTTCAGTCCACATTCTAATGTAGACATCGATATAATATGTAGACTTACATACTGCAAATTCACTATATTTCGGCAGCATCTCCCTCCAAATTTCAGTATTGGCCGAAGTTACTGGCGCCACCACGTGTGATTACCTGTGTTCCATTCAGGTGTACCAGCGAACTTTTCTCGCTTGTCTAGCAACGCTGTTTGACTGTCCATGTTAATTTGAGTCACATATCAATCATCGTGATGGCATGGCGGTGACTAACAGAAAGTCTGACACCGTATAACATCCATTAAAAATGCACCTTGCTGTGCAATCGCTCAAAGATAGCCACAGATAAATTGGCTACTATGTGGTCGTGCCTTGGTATTTTCAAAATATTGGCTGCTCCAAGGTATTGTCCGCCACAGCTGCTGGAGTTAAGCGCCCTGCATTTGGAGCGCTTAACCGATGGTTGATGCTGGCGCGTTTCGTCATTATGAACTAGCCCACTGCTTAATCAGTTGCACCATCTTCAAAGCCTAAAAATCGACTTGCAATTGATATACATTGGTTTTCATATAGCATTTACTTAGAATTTTGCTTTTAATTCTGCGTTGTTTCTTACATTACCTAGTCGCAGTTTCCCTGTGATTTCATTGAGGTCGATGCATAGTAGGTACTTCCTCATTCAATCCACGTCATATTCCAAACGAGTTTGATCGTTTCAGCTACTTTGCGCCCTATTTTGGCATTCCTGTTTCTAAGATCACTATTTTCTTTTGCAAGCGCTATCCTGGCATGCATCATAGATCAAGCTGGCAATCGCCAAGATGCAAAATTTAGTAAGCTTACTAAGTTTCATTTATTTCGTTGCAGATTATATTAAAGTGCGGTTAGGTATCCCAATCTGATATACTGTAAGGCATTTATAATATATATTGTACATTAGTAACCTTCGCAAAAGGACCTTCCTATATTCTCCCTCTCCCGGAAGGAGGCAAGGAAGCTCCTGCATTAATTCAGGAAGCTCCTGCATTAATTAATGAGGCTCATGCGTTAGCACTCATTACATTGCATACTATTTTATTCCAGTTCACCTACAGCCATGAACCCGTACGCTTGTGGTGGTGTACTTTAACAGTTGAGGCCGATGATGCCACTGCAGAAATTGTTCGCATGGCTGAGGCCGTGGCGAGGACGCCGGCGCAAGGAGGCCACAGCCAACGCCACCGCAGGTGGGTGGGCAGTGGATGGATTGAATGGGGGGACTGCGCTTTGTCAATTGCCACCTACAAAACTCTGTTGGGGAAAAGTAGTACATCGATTAGTATTTACAGCCCTTTGCTGTACTGGTTGTCCCCGAAGATATCTTGTGCCCGTGGGAGGGGCCAAACATGTTGCGGCGCTATACGGGTACCGCAATTCGCGTATGGGAGCGGTGCCAAGAGGCCCATTGGCATATTTCATACAACGGCAGCCTTGTCGCTGGCGGGGCGCTGGACTCAGTGGAGGCAGCCTTGCAAGGTGCAGCGCCACGATAGCGTGGTTTAAAACGCCTCATTAACACCATGCATTAGATTAATATAATAATTTTATAATGAATATTTAATAATGATCCGATAATCAAGTAGTAATGTAATAAAAAATATTCATTGAAACTTGAGAACTGCTGTGTACAGGTGGCGAGAAATGGAGGCCTCTCTCGGCAGCGTGCACTCGCAGCAGCCCAAGTGTGAGCTTCAACAGCCCCTGGGCAGTACAGGGCGATTTAAGGGAGGGCCACAAGGGAACCCAAGGCTGGGAGAGGGCGGACGCCCCCAGGGGGGAAGATGAGGCGGTCGCCGTCCGGGCTCGAAGCGCCTCCATGCGCCAGAGGAACAGCGCCCAGAAATCCCAGGTGGGGGACTCGGGCCGACCGCCTCCCTGCCGGGCATCCTTCCGCAACACCATGCGCATGCGCGAGGGGTTTACTCATGTTACGATCGACCGTAACAACGAAGTCGTTGCTGCATTGATGTGACCGCTGGGATGTCCCGGCGGCCCTCTGGGATGGGCCAGCGCGAATAGTGAGGTTGGGGCTCGCAGCAAGTGACGGCCGTTCTCTGCGTGCGCGTTTGCGCAGGGCACAGCAGCGGGGATCGAAGGGCGACTGGGCGCGCAGGTGGAGGGACTGCAGCGCCCCGGCGACTGCCGGGAGAGCGCCGCAGTCCGCCCGTGGGGATCCCAGGAGGTATGGCCAAGGCTGCCGCAGGTGGGTCGCAGTTGCCAGTTGCATGGCATTCACCCCGCCAGGCGCACGGGGGGGAAGGCGGGCTCCAGCCCAATCAGCCCAATCGGGAATGGTCGCTGATGTCCGTCTCAATTTATGGAATCTTTCTGCGTTTCTTTGCTCTTTCGTGGATCAGTCCCTCAGGAAATCCCTCAGGGAGTGCCCCTGGCGCTTTGCACAACGAATTGCACCAATGTCACAATGTGCCATCATTATTGCACCAATTTTGGTGTCGCACGGAATTTTCTCTTGCTCGGCATTTCGACTAGATGGTGCAAAGGAGTAGCTAGTTTGTCTGGGTGGCATCGGGAAGAGGGAAAACGCGCTGATTATAATTGCATCGTAAGTTCCACCAAAATACAAGAATTCGAAGGGTCACCCAGGCATGTGCGCTAATGAGTTCAGCTCAAAGGGAGGGAATTGCAATCATGGCGCAGTGCATTTCAGTTGCATATGGGTACAAATGCTATGGTCTGGGCTGGAAACATCAATCGAGATGCAATGTATGACCACAGGGGTGGCCGGTAGAAAAATTGAACAGGTGATGGGCAAAACAACAGTTCTGAATTAGCACACGCCCTTCGTCACCTGCCAGTCACAAGATCACCGCTGCGTTTTTCGAAGGTATTCAAAAAAATCAGTTTGGCTTGGGGCTGGACCTGATGCGTCCACAATGATCCTGTTTCCGCGTAAGTACTGAAAACAACCACACCATCTCCACATCCAGTAGTGCCCATAAGCCTAACTGATGTGCCTGTTGAGTCAGATATTTTGAGTGATATTATAGAGATTTACCGCTCGTTGCCTCTCCAGACGAGACTTTCTTCTGAACTCCAGTCGCTTGGCAAAAATGGACAAAGAATTATGCTGCTGTGAAGAAGGTTCAGAGGTATAGTTTTTTGATCAAATTGTAGCTCACCACTTTGATGTGGAGCTACTGCAGTTGTTTGGTATTTTGGTACGTTTATTAATACAGAGACCGAGATTTAGATAGAAAAATAGAGCATATATTGGTAGTCGCGGACGGTACTTTTAATTTGCACACAGCCTTCCTTGGGCGGGGGTATGCCCCCCTCTGTGCATGAAGTTCTTGAGCGATGCATTTTGCCCTGTTGCAGGTGGACATGCACATCAGAGCCCTCCACGGGAATTTTGCGGATGCCGAAAATGCGGAGATCCAAGAGACTCGTGAGGATCTCAAGAGAACCGTGGCTGGGTACCGCCTGGGCAGTGAAGATGCAGTCGATCGATCCACGAACGTTCAGGTAAGCACGTTTCCCTGAGCCACGACAGCGCTGCAGCATGCTTCACTAATCACACAATAGATAAATCATGGACTACTTTTTGTAGCTCCAGCACTACTGCCTGCAGCCCGATGCACAATTTCGTCGTTGACGTATGGACACCATGAGTCTGAGTAAATTAAAATTGATTACAATAGAAATTTAAATAAACTATGAGTTGGTCAGCAGGATGGCAATGGCGATATTGATTTCTTGCACAGCAAACAACGCAATGCCATATGCGCACAGTGCTGGCGATCACATCCTGAAGATTCCGCAAAACGCAGGCTGCCGGGCGTGGCAAGGGTTTTCAGCAGCAGAGAACACGGGAACAGTGTAAATCACATCTTGGAGAGATGCGCGGTCAAATATCTAGGATGAGGACAGTGAGGTCAGAGCCCGTTGATGTGATGTCCATTACACTAGCCAGAAAAAGACAAAACAGCACTTTTTGAGAACACATGTGCATTCATTTCATCAATGTTCTGCACGCGGAAAACACGAAATTTCGTGCCTAGTTTGGTTATTTTTAGAATAATCCAAAACCTGGACTTTGTACATGCCTGAACACGTGTTATTTGGTTCCTTTTTTCCTGGCTCGGATGCTCGGCAGATACTTGTATCGCAACCGGGAATCAGACGATGGCGACCTGTCTCGTTGTGCAAGGCAGCGCCGACAAGTGTTACCAATGGCCTGCGTTGACAATTTACCGATTTGTGCTCATAAAGTTAATACTTCGCTTTTGGAAAAATAACACCATTCATAAAATTTCCAATCAAATTACGCTCGCATGCTGTGCCTATCTATTAGCTCTGCCAGAGCTAGGGACCAATTCTAGGTGCTTGAGAACAGCATATGATATTTTCAATTAAACCAGGGTTGTTCTTTACTGTTGCGTTACGTTTTACGTTTGCGCTTTACGTTCGCGCTTTTTGCGCTAAAACGGGAACTTGCAGACACTAGGAAAAAAGGTCCAAATTGCACGTGTTATAACGTGCACAAAGTTTGCGTTTTTGTACCTATGTACACCGATTCAAAATTTGCGTATATTACACGTAGAAATGCAAGCACTAATTTTGCGTAAAAACATGAACATACCTTTTATGCGTAAAAGATTAGTTATCATCAGCGTACTGCTCTGTAAGTACCAAGCCTGAAATAAATGATGGAACCAATCAAAAAACATATTGAGCTAAAAGGTTGTTGGTGTCGTAGCTTGCATCCAGAAAGGCGGACGCTGCAGTGTAGAAAATGCATCAGACGCTTTAGTTATTCACAAACACAGACTGGATTGCATGCTGGTTTCTTGGAACACTGCCCGACAACGCCAGCTTGGTGACGGGGCTTGCTTTGCCATGATTTTGGCAAATGTAATTGCAACGGATTTCCACATCAAACACTACTGAAGATCTGAAACAAAATAGATGGTGTCGTTTTTCTGTACTGCCAGTGACTGGATCTCGAGGTTCAAACCCCGAATCCTTGCCCACAGAAACATTGGTTTTAAATTCTAAATTTGTTTTACACTGGTTTAAAATTTGGTTTTAAAGGAGCCATCCCTGAAGCAGCTGTACCTGCGATTACTGGAATTGGAGCGGGAGAACGAGAAGCTGAAGGCAAACGTCTGCGACCTTCAGGCCCAGTTGGCGCAGAAGGAAAGTGCCGCCGTGGAGTGGATGGACGATGGCTACGTTGCACGCGCCGTTGGCATGGGGAGCGCCCAAGAATCTCAAGTCACAGCTGGGCCGAGGGTGAGTGCACGAAGAGAAGTGGTGGAGGCAGATGAAGGGAATCGGGAATTCGAGGAGACCATCCAGTTGTTCGATCGAATTTTCTGCCAGGTGGTTGATCAAGCCCACCAGGTCTACGGAAAATTGTTGATCGCAAAAGAGGTGGCAGAGAGCCGGCGGTGCCAAATTTAGGTTCGCATTTGAGCGGGGTTGAACACTGAAATATTGAGCTGACAGGTCAAACTGTGCTTTTACGGGACAAAATTGTGTTACTACTACAATCATTTTAGCGAATTTGGTTAAAAATACAACGGCCCAATATCCTGGCATCGGTTGCGTGCCCCACCGCTCTCTTGCCACTAGTGAAAAACAGGCCAGATGACACAGTCTTGACACGGTCTGCTCAAAATCTAACCGTGTACTTTCGGCATATGTGGTCCCAAAAGTACACAGTTAGTACACACATTGACACAATTTCAACCGTGTACCCTCAAAATACTGTGTAGATTACACGGTTTCCTAAGATGCACGATTAAAACTGTGTCAATGTGTGTACTAACTGTATACTTTTGGGACCACATTTGCCGAAAGTACACGGTTGGATTTTGAGCAGACCGTGTCAAGACTGTGTCATCTGGCCTGTTTTTTCCTAGTGTGCTGCGAAGCTGAAATGTCAATTGTGAGCCCCAGGCGTACAGCACAAAGCAAAGCCTAGGAAATGGTCCACCGATGTGTGTGCGGCCACACACACACACACACGCATTCTTAGCGCCGCTGTTGTCAATGAGCATGCAACAGCGGAAGCCGAGGCGCAGTATGTGATTGGCATTTCCCTCTGTTGGGAATTTTTCTGTAAGTGCAATATAGCCCGATCCCCATGGCCTAGCTTGTATCGAGGAAGAGTCTCCCATTCTTCTTGGCTGACCACATATCGAAATGGCCTGCAACAGCCCTCGCCAAATAGCATGTTGCCAAATCACTGTTGTTGTACCATGTTGGACCGCAACCCGGTCCCGAGAGCCTTGCCGCCCTATTGACGTTTTTGCTCCAGATCAAACAAAACTGGAAACAACAGACAGGGTAAGCCCCGTGGAGGCGGCGGAGCTACGGGCTGTACGACCTCGGTATGATCATCGCATTGCATAGGGTGGATATCAGTCCTACTGAACATACCGAAGCATATTCATCCCTTCCGCGCTTTGAAATTTCAGAGTTGCGATTTCAGATCCACATTTTCGGCTTGCTCCGCATCATGGCCGCAGCCAGAACGGAGACTCGCTCAGTTCGCATGAACTCAGGTGGCGGTTTTCTGCCAAAGCGCCTCATGCATCCGGGGCCGCTAGACTCGGCGGGCACTCCAGGGACTTTCGCGTGGCGGCTGGGGCTGCTCCACATTTTCTTGTACCATACGCCGTTCTACTGCTGCTCCCTGTAAAATGGCCAAACGTTACGTTTCAACAGGAAAGACTACAATATACTACGGTAGGTGTGACACTTGCTTCTTAGACTAGCATCGATGTGGTTTCAAACCGTTGGGGAGAAGAAAAGTGAACGGACGATAGCGAAAAAGTTTGGCATGTACACATGCTCGTCATTGCCAGCAATGCACAAGCTGCCTATTTTGTCTTTTGATTGCAGAATCTCCAAAGGAGTTCCGACACCGTCCAGCATACGCTTTAGGACAGGTATGCTGCTCAATAATCGCGTCCTTTGCTATGCGCTGCCCTCAAGGAATTCCCAACCCTGGACTCCACACCATGGAGAACGACCAGGCTTGGTCGCCCAGCTGCCCTCACCGCACCCGCCCATTTCGCACTGGAGGGGAAGGGGAAAACAGCGTGGATGGGTTGAGCTCAGCAATTGCCTTGCCACGGCAGTTCGTATTATAGATTTATATCATAACCAGTATGCAACAGACAGTATTACTCAGAATACGCCTGCCTTAGGCGAACGCAATCAATTGGACTCTTTCTGACCCGCCGGCAGTCCTTCACATGCACAGGAAATAAAGTTGCTTTGGAACTCTGAAAATGCACAGCACAATCCGAACTGCCTCAGGAGCTGGTCTGCAATTGCAACAAGTACCCTGTATGGGATATATTAGAGTAAATGTGAAAAAACGCACCTAAACATCTAGGATAATGTGCTCCTGGCTGTAGTTTCGAAGATTCCTGGACTGGTGCCACATTTTGTCAAAATTTGTCATCAGTTCAGCCATTCAATCACTCATACGCAGCACCGACATATCACTAGTAAAAAACATGCCAGATGACACAATCCTGACTCGGTCTGCCCAAAATCCAACTGTGCACTTTTTCTCAAATGTGGTCCCAAAAGTACACAGCTAACACACATGTTAACACAATTTTAATCGTGAATCCTAGGAAACCGTGTAGTCTACACAGTTGTTTGAGGGTACACGGTTGAAATTGTGTCAATGTGTGTACTAACTGTGTACTTTTGGGACCACATTTGCCGAAATTACACAGTTGGATTTTGGGCAGACCGTGTCAGCACTGTGTCATCTGGCCTGTTTTTTACTAGTGTATCGAGCGGCAGATCCCAACATCAACCCCAGGCAAAAGTTAGGCGACACACTCATTGTCGGGAGAAGATTTCCCCATCATGATCATGACCATGATGTTGACCATCATCGTCACCATTATTTTTTACAGAACAAGGCAATGAAAAATTCCTCTATCACTAATTTTCTTTAGGTCTTTCTTGACCATTTATGAGCATGCGGGCTAACAGATTGTCATGTAAATCTGAGACGATCAGTCCCTTACAAGCCATCTTCAGAAAATTATGTCTGCTCAATCCGTTTTACACAACTAAATCTTTAAATTGTCGACCCTCCCCTTCATTGCGAGAAATATAGCATCGCCAAAGCTCGTACCGCGTTTCGCTCACAGAAGACTCCCCACCTGTTCCCCGCGGACCTTGCCCAAATGTAAACGACTTAACAAAGCCCGAAACTCAGGCACCTTAAAATCTTGTTGCTTATTCAAATTTTGACCTGTGAGCCGAAAACATTGAACTTTCGGGACTGCGCAGTCCTGAAATTCGCTGCCAGTATCGTTTCTGGATCTTCTCATCGTCCATATCAGTGAGCATACCACGCTTCTCGAAAATTTGCCTATTGTTTCCACAATTTCCGGAGCCCCACGGCACTCCCAGCTCACCTCCAACACCTGCCGTTGATTTCCCTGGTACGCTTGCACACCGCTCCACAACCCCTATGATCATTCCGTAATCTCCATCAACGAGGAAGCGGCGTCCAGGTGGTCTATGGCCCCTCGCTGCTGTCCGGTGGACATTGCTACTGTCTTCACGCAAGCCAACCATCGGATGTCCGTGGCTCGCGCGCCCACACAGGAATGCAAGAACATGGCGGAAATGAACGTGATCATTTCCGTTCCCATCACATGACCATTTCATGCGGGCCCCCCACAGGAAATGGGTCATGAATTGTCCCTCCGTATCCAGGCGTATCCAGGGTGAGGTGCTTGCATATGCTGGATATGGGTGAGGATCTGGTAACACCCTTGAAGAGCAAATCCAACATGCACAGCTTTTTTATAATGTACCGCAGGCAGGCCGATCCTCACTATTGTTCAATTGTCGGCGAGAGGCGCTGGCTATGATGATCGCACATCTCATCGCTTGATCCGCAGGTCGTCGAAATATGTCAATTAATTGAAACACTTTGAGACATTTCCATACCGCTATTAATACGGAAAGGTCTGGTCCCGTATGTGGGTCAGAGAGGGCGGAGATGGCAGATCAGCTCCTGCAGCGCCTCCCAGGGCCGGGGCCAGGCCTTCCTAGAGATGACGGTCAAGAGCGGCTTCCTGGCCAAGGTTGACGAGGAGGGGGTGCTGTTTGCCTCCACGGACGAATCCCTTGGTACGAGAATAGCGCATGTCAGGGCTGCCGACGTGGACAATGCACAGAGCTTAGTCAGGGTATGGAAGACAACCTGGACGTGGCGGACGAGGCCACGGTGCTCCAGCACTTCGTGTGGCCCGAACACAGGCACAAAGTCCGGGATGCACCGAGAGCTTGTCAACAAGAGAGACACACTGGAGCACCCACTGGCAGATAACAAGATTTTGGTGATGCCAACTGCGATACGAGTTTTTCAAAGAATTGGGCCATCGCAGCGATTGGGATGGCATCCAAGTTGATGTGATGGCATCAAGTAGTGTCAAATGGCATCGTGGATAGCGTCGCCAAAAATATTTTTTGTGCTAGTGACTGGGAACGCGGTGGCCCTAGCAAGATCGGGACTAGGCAGAAACATTAGTGCATATAAGCTAATAGGATGGATGTAAGTAGAAGGGATTGGGTTTGTGTTCGCTGTTGATTTTGGGCTGTAATGGGATCGATTTTGGGGGTCAAGAACACTGAGCGGAGCCAGGATCGCCGTGCGCTGGGGCGTCACTCCGTTCGTGATGTATGTGCTTCAGCGCCCATGTAAGTAGCCCTATGGACGGTCACGAGATGTTCTCACTTATTTTGAAAGGCCTTCTTTCTACAAAAGGATATTCGCCCTCGCCTATCGTCGAATTGTGTGCTTATGCTGCCAATGGCGGCAGATTTTGACAAGCTATTTGTCGTTTTGAATTGTTCCTATGAATATACGCATAATAGACTGCTCAGGACGGAACATTACGCCTAAACTTTAAGTGCATAGTATAAAGATGCACTTGCAGTTCAAGCATTGAAGTCTAATGACAATGTAGGTTATCCTCATTCTATATTTCATGGCATTGATTTGATATATTTGTCGCCTGGTGGATATGCCCTATGGAAGCCCAACATCCGCCACTTCCTGCACAAACATTGACGGTTGTCGACCAAAAACGCGGTCAATCTGCTACAAGATTTAGTATTCACATACATATTATCAATTATATCATGATATGTACTCGGTGATTGTTAAAAGTATCCAAACCCTGAACTTTTGCAAAACTGGAGACAAATTCTTTTAAATCCGCAACTTTGATTTTTCAGGATTCTTGCTGTAATGATTGCAATCATTATTGGGTGCCTTGGCCAGGGGGAAATAGGGCTGTTAAAATACTGCCACAGTGGCAAGTAAATGCATAGTCCCAACACAACAGCACTACAGCTGCTGTGTTTGACGGGTGCAATTATCTTTATATCCATGTACCAGTACTTAGAGACTCAGAGCTGTTCTGATCAGCGACGTAGACAGTGCAACGACCCTCCTCTGGAGAAATAGGGAAGGCCGAAGAAAAGGTTGACAGTACTGTGTGTGGGATGTTTAAAAGCACCCGATGCTCAGTGGAATGAAACGTACCATCCGCAGTGAACGACAATGCTCATTGCGACCTGCTGGTTCAAGACCATGACAAAGGTTACACTTTGCTACATTTCGGCTGCCAGAGGGGTCAAACGCGCGAATTAGGAAATCTGACCGAAGCAATTTCGACGCACCATATCTAAAGCTCTAATAAAACCTCAAATGCAGTAGACGGGGATGCTGTTGTCACAATCTCTCGAGTTGTGCTGAAGTGATGCATTGTTGCTGTGTGCCCACTTGGGTGTGCACACTTGGACATTCTTGGTGCTCTCATTGTGCTTTGCTTGTATTTGGGTGGGAGTGGGTGGTGAACGAAGTACAGTAGGCCCATTTAGGTACACTATGTGGCTGTTGTAATGTCTGGGCGGGAACCCCAAATGTGTGGGGCCGCAGAAGCCGTGTGAACCTGTTCTACACCAGAATTTTCAAGGCGATTGTGTCCGTTATGCCACTTGGCACCTGAAGACGAGCTCCATTTTCTCTTCCACTGCCAAGCCTACAACACCATCCGTCGAAGCCACTCTCGTATTTTTCAATGTCGCAATGCGAAAGTACTCTTTGCTACAGTTCCAGCTCGACAGCTTGCGAACACACTTCGTTTGATGTATTACCATCGATTATCACTTTTAGGCAGCGAAATTTCATAGTTCGTACATTTAGTTTGTATTCTCCTTAGATTCCAATGAACCAATCACCGACACTGCTTTGCTCAGGCAAAATAGGAAGCTGACGGCTACCTCATTGCCTTGTTCTGTAAAAAATCATGATGATGATGATGAACCTGTTCTTGTACCAACCCAACCGGTTCTGCCTCCGCGCCTCCACTGGACACCAGCAGCCGACCGGGGCCGATCCCCAAGCGAACAACTAGGCCCACCTCGCATGGAATGGGCGCTTGCCCCGCCAAGTCCGTGGTGCATTTGCGGAGAGCGCCGGCAGCGAACGGCTGGCCATTGCGTAAGGAGGAGCTCTCCTGATCCACCCCAACGCGGCGCCCACAGCCACGACAATTGCTCTTTGACGGAGCATGGCGAGATGAGCGCGTCTCGCCATTCGGTAGAGGTAAGTCAAGCAATCTGTGGCTAGGATACTCATACACTTTTGTGGGACGGTGCACGCTGGAGATGTGAACCAATTCCGAAGAGAACCGCAGGGAAAGGATTGGAGATCACAGCGATACTTGGGCCTTGACAAGAACAGTGCGGAGCCAATCGCCGAAGGCCAACAGTCAGTTAGGCCAGTGCGTGTGCAGCAACCTGGCAGAAACCCCATGGTCTGGAACGCCACAACGGCGTCAACCAAACGGCGGCCTCGATTTGAAGCCATGCGGGCCAGTCGTTGAAAGCAGTTTGAAGACAACGCTCCGCACAATGAAAGAGATGATGGGTGCGTTTCACAAAGAGTATGGACAGCATGATGATGAAGTAAGTCGTGAAAGCTTATGGCAGTTGCAAGTTGTGTTGTGCGAGGAGGCGCTCCAGGGCTTGGGGGATGTTTGGTGCAAGTTGGAAGATACTGGGATAAGGCGGACGCAACAGTGTGGGAAACAGAAGGCCGGGGAGGAACTGGACAGGGATGGCATTTGATGCTGCTGCGAATGTCTTCTTCGTGTGGTGACGATTACCAGTTGCAGATTAATTGGAATCAAGATCCACAACATAAAATCAACGAAACAATGTGGAAATGGTGTTGGACTGAATAGCTGCATCGATCTTGCAAAGTAAACAAGAAATGCTGAGAGACAAAGATACTGTTTACATAACGGATAGTGTCACAATGGCTCCTATCTTTCATTACTGTAAGATCAAACACATCACTTCAAGCTCCAATTCAACAACACAATACACAACATGCCCGGTAGCAGGTATTGTGCTGCTCAATTGGAGCTGTTCGATTGCTGCTACTAGCAGCCCACACTCTCTGGGCACAGCTGACAACTGCCATTGTCTCATATTCCCCTAAACAACAGGCTACAGCTTGCTGTCCATATTTTGTTTCACCAAATTGAGGCGTCCCAGTATCAACGTCATTCACCTGTCTGCCAACATACAACTTGTCAGTACATCACCGTGGCTATCATTTTTATGCGTCCACCAACAACGAGCTCACCCTGTGCTTCTAACATGCAGTTGAAGATATCAGCAGAAAACGTTGGTGCATCGTCAATTCCCCAACCAACCGGCACTTTGTCTTCAAAATGCACATGGCCTGCTGTCGTTTCCACATCCAAGTCGAGAGACTTAGGCCAGTCAGTTGATGGCAGCGGCCTCTCCACCCCTAAGCAGTCTATCCTGGAGTATGGTGCCATCGCTGGCCCTCTCACAAACACTGACACTGACATCGCAACATCACCATCTTTGAAAGCCTGCAGTGACCACGTGTAACCCCTGAAAGCGACCACAGATTCTATGTATGGCTCACGTGCACAACTACTAGTGAGGGCATCTCTGACGAACATGGCATCTTCGTTGAAAATGATCTGAAAACTGCGTCGGGAGGAGCCTGGCCTCGGCACACATCTGTCGCCCATGCGCTCTTTGATCTGTTGAAGATCGCCTGGAAAATCTGCCAAAGTATGAAAATGAAGCGCCTCCTTTACCCACCACGTGCATACGTCCCTCATCCACTGTGCAGAGCTGACCACCTGTAAATAGTAGGGTGACAACAAGCAAAACTTGATGCATCCGCCCAACTCCAAAGCAGCATCCCCACTTCTAGAAGTGGCAACAGATCTGTTGCCTTCTGGGAAGTTTTTGTCCATCCATTCATTCACAACCCAAAACACTGTCTCCTTGGCAGCCACTTTCAATCCAGCATGGCGCAACAACAACTTCACAGCTGGCAGGGGGAGCTGGCAAAAATTATCACGAGCATTGTCGTCCAGACCAACCTCCTCCAAGTCTGGAAATTTCATCAGGAGAACGCATCCAATCACCTCGATCAGACTCACAACCGACGGCCTGGCCTTGATCCTTGACCCCTCCAACATTCCCAACAGTTTCATGTCGTCTTCCCATTTTCGGTCTGATGAGATGAGGCTTGTGACACAGGGGTCCACAAGCTTGTCCACCATGAATCGATCAGCAAAAGACAGTAGTGTGGTAAGATCTTCCACAGTAAGGCCGGTATCCAACTCCTCGAAGTGAACAAAATCCAGCAGAACCTAGAAGTGCTGCAACTCGTCGGCTCCCAGCTGGATCTCCAGCACTCTCTTGGATCCTTCGCTGCCAGACCATCTGTCCAACATCGCCTGAAAAAACTGCGACTTGGTGGCCAGGCAGAATGATGAGACATCAAAATCTTGGACGTCTGCAGAATGCTCCGATCCCTGGCCTCCAACCTTGTCCGCCCCTTTCTCTTTCTTCTTTGCACTTCGTGAGGCTTTGCAAGTCTTCTGTTTCTTAGGATCTGGGGCCTCGTCTACCCCCAGAGGATCAGTAGTGACCGGTTGGCTGCCTGACAGACGAACCCTCACAATAGCATCGCTGTAGTCAGCCAATTTGCTCATCCCTAGAACAGTCCAGCTGAACCTGTTGGACAGTGTGGGCTCCTCTGAGGGCAGTTTAGGATGTCGTGCTAGGACCGGTGATCGCACTCAATTGAATGGTTCTCAAATCAAGATGCGCAACAATTCTAGATAAAAAGTAAATTGGACTGGTGGGACATTTGCAACCAATATATTTGTTGTGCAGCGACCTGTGAGGTTCACAGTATTTTGTGCACAGTAACGGATGATGGGGTTATGTGCTGATCACAATACTTTGCACAAAACAGCTCTTCCTCAGCACAAATAACAACAACTTTCTGCATTTGTTAACTGTGAGAGCCATGTTGCCAACAACTGCTGGGTAAAGTGAAAAATTAAGAGTGATCTTCTGCATCGCAGGGCTAGCCTGCTAGGCCATAATAGCAGCAAATAATAAATCCAAACCTTCATATGCACATTACCATTTACTTGCGGATTGGCACACACAATGCAATCAAAACGCTGGCTTGGTACATAGAATTCTATATTGGATCCAGCCTGGTGCTCATGCCTATCTTTTGAGCTTCTTGGAATAACGTGGAGTTTCGCGTGGGCATTCTGGGCCAGTCCATTGTGGATGCGCACAATGCCCTGCAATGCCTTGAGCTGCCTTGCTATGAGCAGCTGCCATAGCCACAATAATCGATCCAACGATGGAACTTCTGATCTCTTGCTCCATATTACATTCGGAAATGATGGCCGCTGGATGCCCTTCGCTTTTCCAATTTAATCTCCCTTGTTATTGGTGTTGTCTTTCCATGGTGGCCAGTAATCACATTCAGCGCACAGCACGGCCACTTTGATGATATTCACGGGGATTGTGGGACTCACACTATGGAGGTCAAGAATGTCCATCATCGCCCGCAATTGCACCAGCCTTGTTTTGTCCATGTGACAGATCTGACCAGAGAACCATCAGAACTTAGGCATGCCCTCTATTGTTGGATAGCGTTTACCCAATGCAGAGGATAAACTGGAGCTTGTGAGGATCAGTCTGGACATCTACTAGCACGGGAAGGAGAAACAACATCTTCTGGTGTCAATGGCCCACATATGTTGATTGACGACAGCACAGTGCATTGATGCAACATCCTGGAATGCAAAAGCCACTAATATTACTGCAAGAAACCAAAGGGATCTTAACTGTTGGTGATGCTCTTGCCTGTGATAGTATCCTCTGGTGCTGGGAGATGCGGTTTCTGCTTGTCTCCTATGCGTCTTCCCTGGAGATGTCACCAACACAACTACATTTATTGTTAGCCAGTGCAAATCAGCAAATACACACCAGTGAGTCGGTGAGGTCCTCCAAGTGCCAGAAGCGGCAGCTGAACAAAGTGGCATATGGTAGTGCAGCAAGGCAGCGTATTCGAGGTGCACGCCCTATTCCTTGAGCACCACTTCAGATTCTGCCGATGCAATCCAGCAGCACCATAACAATTCATTTCTAGCCCTGCAGCGATGAAGCCACCATACTTGGATGATGAACTGCATATACAGCCAAGAAACTTCCAGAACAACTCTGTTCAAGTCAACACTGGCATGGCGGCAGTTGATTTCACAACATTTGCCCACACATGGCAATCGCAGCCCCTGTACAAACTCTCAGTTGTTGCCATTAGCAAATCACTGCCTTTCAAGCTGCAAGGCACCATGGGTGTGTTGCTTTTGTGCAAATGGATGGGCCAGGCCAACTGTGACGTCAACTGCACAGTTCAGCATGTTACCTTATTCTGATTTTGATGATCCATTCAAGGACCGAAATTCTCTCATTGTGTTGTGACGACAATCTGCCCATCTCATCACGACATTCACTGCGCAAATGGGAAGGAAATCGACAGCCGAAAGTGATACTCCGGTGTATCACATAGATACCTCAGGAAAAGCCAAAACATCTCATCCACTCGCATACTTGGCACGATCTTTCATTGCAGAGTAAAGAGTTCCATGGAACATTCTTGTCCTTGGCATGAGGCACGTTTTCCTCTTTTTGCAAAGAATGGTGCCAAATCCCAAGAAACCATTCGCTGTTCTATTGGGAAGTTGGCTTAAGGGCCTGATGACCTGTCAGGACGCTCGCTTTTCTTGTGCCCATGAACAGTGCGTCTGCCTGAGCTGAGCATGTCCATCAGCTACACGCTTTTCTCTTCTTAGCAGGCGCTTGCGCACAAGCTCATCTCTACAATGAGGGTAATGTTCAAGACGAGGCAGGGGAACCACATTGACGGGGTCCTCATCGGCCAACCCCCGGTTCTGATTTTGGGTGCTTTCTCTGCTATCCTGGCTGATGATGCCCAAGTGTGCCTGGGTTGGGATGTGTGTATATGTGTGTTGTGATGAGGGCGGGGGGAAAGGTGTTGGGCTGTGTGTGGGGTGGGTCTGGGGGGAAGAGGGGGATGGGGGGTGGGAGGGGAAGAGGCCAATGTCCAAATGAGAAAGGGGGCGTGCGAAGCGGCAAAGAACAGGCTACACACAGGCCTGGAGCGGCAAAGCGAAGGGCCAGCGCAGCAATCAAGCCACCCCCAGGGGGGGAAGGGGGGGGGCACCAGAGTTCCTTCGCTTGAATCTGCCTTGCAACAAAAACGGAGCCTTTCCACTTTGTAGGCGATGGAGGCGTCCGCCGCCGTCATCCCATCCACGCCTGGACTTCCACTTCCGCCCCCGCCACCACTTCTGCATCATCTTTCACGGCACGGAAGAGAGCCTCGCCCGCACTTGGTTAGGGGGGAATGCCCTTCGTATGACCTTGTTCTTTCTCTCTTTGTCGCAAATCGTACCGCCCCGCCCCACAACCTTGACCTCAAGCCAAACTTGACTTCGGGCACCGCCACCCCAAGATCCACAGTTCAACGCTGGTAAGGCGCGACGGGCTGCGCTCACCTGCCGGGCCGGCCGCGCTGCCCAAGGCGCGCTTCCGCCGCGCGTGTCGACTAAAAGCTCCGTCGACCGCCTGAAGGTGGTCCCCGGCGCTGCGCAGCGGCCCCCGCAATGTGGGCAACGTGTGCGCTCTCTGCCCGGTGGACACCCCTGTTGGGAAAAGGTGCTGAGTGGGAACCGGTAGACTGTGGGGAGGGGGCATGAGTAGTGAAGTGGGGAGATGGGAAGTGGGTCGGAGGTCTTGGAGCAGAATAGGTAGGAACGAGGGAGTAAGGGCGTATGAGGGAGTTAGTGGGTAGGGACCCTAGGAACGCCGGCGGGCGGACGGGTCCAGGTAGGCCGGCCTAGAGGATTGGTGGAGGAAGGGGTGCCAGGATTTGGGGTGAGGAACGGGGTGAAGATATCATAGGGAGTTCGTGGGATTTCATTCTGGAAGGATCGGTCGGGAGGTCAGTGGTGATCGGTGCGAATCTGGATGACAGCGGTGAAGCTGTTCGTCAGCGGGTGTACATTCTAATTCCGGGGGATCGAGAGAGTACCTATAAAAGAATAGCATGCTTTGTAATGAATGCTTGGCTTGGGGTCAAGTCTGTCGTGTGGCCTCGGAGGCCGTTTGAGAGCGCGCACCCCCTGCCGGGCATCCGCGAGTGGGCCGGCTGCTGTGCTGCCTATCGAGGGCACCGGCTATTACAGTGGTTCCGACGCCGGGACCTAACTCGTGAGGACGCCGGAGGGGGTGCGGTTGGAGGAGCGATCGGCGGCAGGAAGCCGGCCGAGGAGCGATCGGCGGCAGGAGGCCGGCCGAGGAGCGATCGGCGGCAGGAGGCCAGCCGAGGGGTGACCGGTGGCGGGAGGCCAACCGGGAGAGCGTGATTGGGAGCAACAGGGAGTATGAGATTGCGTCCGCGATTCTTTGCGGGGATGGGTCGCAGGAAGACGTGGAGGGATGGCTATTGCATTTTGAGGGGATCTGCGTCGCGGGTGGCGTGAACAACGATGCACAGAAAATCGCCTTGCTAACGGTTAGCACTTCGGGCGAGGCGACGCGATGGGTGCGTGCGCGATCCAAGTGGCTGTTCAACGAGGATCGTACGTGGAACGAGGTGAAGGAAGCGTTCCGGGTCCGTTTTTTGGATGAGGATATAGAGGATCGCGTCAACGCCGCATTGCGCACGCTTGCCCAGTGGGAGGGTGAGACGGTAAAGGAGTACTTGAGTCGATTCCGTGAGCTATTGGCAAGGTCGGATGAGGCCACTGAGGATGGGTGGTACCGCTCATGGGTAGATGGGCTGAGGGACCCTTTGCGCGAGGCAGTTAAGTTTTTGGGATATGTAGATCTGGAAAGCGCTGCGGACATCGCCACGCGCAAGGAATGTGCGTCCCGTAATGCGGAGGCTGAGGACACCTCTAAGCCCTCGGAGGAGCGGCAGGATGTGGGCGCGGAGTTGCTGGACGCATTAGGAGAATGGGCGTTGCGAGCTCGCGCGAGGGGAGGAACGCGGCAGGTCGCGATTGACCGATCGAGCGCTGAGCATGCCGGATCGAGACCGAGGGGGCGTGAAGCACGGGCATGGGGCGAAGCGTCGTCAGGGGCGCAGCGACCGCAAGGGTTGTCAGGCCCGCGTGATGGGCGTGATCGGGGTGTTCCGCGGGGGCCGGTGGAATGTTGGAGGTGTGGTAAGTTAGGACACGTTCAATGGCAGTGTACTGAACCTATGCCGGGAGAGGGGCAACCCTCGAAGGTGGAAGTGAATGCGCCCGGTCGTGGAGCGGCGGATCCCCCACGATTGACGGGGGGTAATCGTGCGGGACCGGGTCGGGATATTCCCCGTCGAAATGAGGAGCAGAAGGGTGTTCGGGTCGGACGATTGGCCCATGCGATACTAACCAATGCATGTGTGACTGGAATGGAGGAGGATGGTGATTCATGGATTTCTGAGGAGGAAGGGGTCAAGGAGGATGCCCCATGGAGTGACGATGAACCCGCCGCCGCACGAATGGCCGGCAGCCGTAAAAGGAGAAAGGGGGAAGGCCCCAGGAAGCCGCGCACTCGCCCCACTCTGCTGCCTGAATGGAGGGAGCACGTCGCACGGACTTGTGTCATTCCC